AATGTGAAAATTATATAAAATATAATAATATATTATATAAATTATTCAATATAAGTAATATATTACAAAATATAACTTAATTAATAGTTGTTATTTTATACATTCAATAAACTGTTTTTTATGTTATACTGTCTTAGATATATATATAATGACTATTTTTATATAAGATAAAATAATATTATATTTAACTTAATTTTTTTGATATATGATTTAAATTTTTAATTTATATAATAATAATAATAATAATTAAAAGTCTTGGTTAATATTTTACTTTATATCTATACTATTAATCATAATTCTGTATAATTGTAACAAATTATAGTTTTATTTTAAAAAATAAAATATAACTATTATTAATAATTTAATTAATATGATATTATATTAATTTAAAATATTTCCCTGTTTATTATTTATATACATACTGTAACATTTAATATCAAATTTTCATCAGTTATTAGACACTATATATTAATAAACTGTTAATATAATAATAATGTATAAATAATATATATATATATACTAGTATAATATAAGTAGGGTTAGATTGGGAATCCCAGGGAAGGGAGTTCCCAAATAAAATCCCTCCAATTTTCCCGGAATATATGGAAAATATATTATATTCCCTCCCTTGATCGTTAGAAAGGGAAAATATAATTTGTCATACATAAAAAAGGACCTAATCTCAATGACTTTTTAAAAATTGTACTGTTATATGTGAGTGGCAATAATGTGAACATAACTTAAAAGCATATGTAAAACTGTGGTATTATCACAAACATTGTCTGTCATTATCACACAGTGTTAAACATTTATAATTATGAGACATTGATGAGATTATTGAATTGACTCAACCATATAATCAAATTGAAATTGATTAATATACTTATACACAATAAATTCAGTGATAATGCCTCAGTTGAGTGATAATGCCTGATATTATTTTTAAAATGTAATAATTAATAAAAAAATAATAAAAATGAAAACAAAAAACATTATATAAATTGTTTATTTTAAAGAAATGTCATAAAAATTATATTTAAATTGTTTTTCATATAAAGTTTACTAAATTTAGAATTATTAACGTATTCTCGAAAACATTTGTTGTCGGCGACGGATAGTAGTGGCCTTAGACACACTAATAGACATACAAATAGACATACAGATTATGTTGTTGTTGGATACAGCAAATAGTGGCAACAGATATACGACATACATATAGACCTACAGATAGATATACAGATTGTTGTTGTCGGCGACGGCGAATAGTGGCCACATATATACGACATACATATAGACCTACAGATAGATATACAGATTGTTGTCGGCGACGGCGAATAGTGGCCACATATATACGACATACATATAGACCTACAGATAGATATACAGATTGTTGTTGTCGGCGACGGCGAATAGTGGCCACATATATACGACATACATATAGACCTACAGATAGATATACAGATTGTTGTTGTCGGCGACGGCGAATAGTGGCCACATATATACGACATACATATAGACCTACAGATAGATATACAGATTGTTGTTGTCGGCGACGGCGAATAGTGGCCACATATATACGACATACATATAGACCTACAGATAGATATACAGATTGTTGTTGTCGGCGACGGCGAATAGTGGCCACATATATACGACATACATATAGACCTACAGATAGATATACAGATTGTTGTTGTCGGCGACGGCGAATAGTGGCCACATATATACGACATACATATAGACCTACAGATAGATATACAGATTGTTGTTGTCGGCGACGGCGAATAGTGGCCACATATATACGACATACATATAGACCTACAGATAGATATACAGATTGTTGTTGTCGGCGACGGCGAATAGTGGCCACATATATACGACATACATATAGACCTACAGATAGATATACAGATTGTTGTTGTCGGCGACGGCAAATAGTGGCAACAGATATACGACATACATATAGACATACAGATTATGTTGTTGTCGGCGACGGCAAATAACGGCCACAGACATACAGATAGACAAACAAACAAACTATAAAAACCATTTTTCTGTAGTTATATAAACATTAAATTCATTACTAAGCAAACGTGTTTTTGATAAAACGATGTAATATGGAGTAGGGTTCGATAGGTGGTACCACAAGGAAAAGCCTTCCCTGGGAATTCCCAGGGAAGAAGGAATATAAGGAACTTATGGAATATAAGACGAGGGAGGGAATCTGATCTAACCCTAAATATAAGTAATATATTACATAATATTTTATATAACTAAATTAATAGATTTTTTTTCATTAAAGAAAATAATATGAGACAGTTTTTAACATATATAAAATATTATAAAAAATTAAGTAATAATTTTATTTTGTTTGAAAAATTCAATTAATAATTTTGAATGTAAATAAAAATGCAACAAAAACAACAATTATTAATATATAAATATAAATTGAATAATTAGAAAAATATGTCCCTGTTTACTATTTTACAATAATATCTATTAATATCAAATTAATCATCAATTAGTAGTATTACTTGATATTAACTAACTATAAATATTTATTCAATAACAATATACACACACAGTATATAACAGTATATAAATTAATAGTTTATAGTTTATAGAAAATCTGAGATTTTTTTGAACAAAAATTATATTAAAAAAAACAATTATGATATGATTTTGAAAAATTCAAGCAATAGTTTGAATGTAAATAACAAAAATTGTTTTTAAATAACAAATTCTACAAAAAAAACAACAAATTATTTATACATAAATATAAAATGTATAATCAAATTGTGTTTAAAACAATTCATAATAACTTTAATAAAAGTTTGTTTAATTTTATATATATATACTGTATATACTGTAAAACAGTAAATAATTTATATTATATATTTATTAATAATTTATAGCTAAACTTAATACAATATTTACTAGTTATTTAAAATTGTCATTTATTGAATAATATTCAACTAATTTATTGTTAATACAGTATATTTAAAAATTTATTTTTAATATATTTTTAATTTATATATATATATATAAATCATACATATAATAATATATTGCATATTAAAGGTAAGTTTATATTAAATATTTTTATAATATAATAATTATTTAATATGAAATTTTTAATATTAGCTAATTGTGACAAATATTACTATTAATAAGTTTTATAACAAACTAATATCACATCAACTATTGGTCGTATAATTTAAGGCAAAACATAACAATTGTGAGTAAAACATAATTTTATTATTTGATTATTAAAAAAAACAAATATTTTTTTTAGATTTCAAAAATATGACAACTAATATCAACAATACCTTCAATATTACATCAATTATCAGTGAAACAATCGATACAATTAGCAATAATATTGTAACTAATGGTAAGAAAGTACAGTATTATTAAAAAACAATTAATCAATTAATAATTATTTAATAAATTAATTGATTTTATTTTACAGATCCTATAGATGTCAATATCAATGTCATTACACTTGTCTTTTGCATAGTAATGGCATTAATGTTAATATTGGCGATAGTTGTCATCATTTATCGCAAACATACAGTAATTACTGTACAAAATACCGATCAAAATATGGACAACAATTTCGGACAAACTATTAGTGTTAGAAATGATCAGACATTTGATGACAACAATGACGACGACATCAGGTGTGGACCAAACAATTTGATTGAACTTCAGATACGACAACAACAACAACATATGATTGACAGATATTGAATCAATTAATATGTGATTAAAAATAAATGTTTGATATATTATATTATATATGTAATAAATAAAGTGTTAGTAATTGTATTTAAAGTAAAGTATATCAATTATATATTTTATAAATAACTTTAGTTTATTTTATTATTATTAATATCTGCTAATTTTAAAATAAAAATATTTATAATAATTGAAAAATTATAAAAAAATATATATATAATAATAATAATAATAATAGATAATCAAATATATTTGTGAACAAATAGACATTTTTTTTTATAAATATTTGTTTAATTACAATTAAATAAATATTTTACTACATTTTTAAAAGTTAATATTTGTATTATTGCAGAATATTATATATATATATATATATATATATATATATATATATATTTGTAAAAACTATAATTTTTGATTTATAATAGATTTACAAAAAAAATAATAAAAAATACATTATAATTTATTTCTAATTTAAAATTAACAGTAATATCATTTGGATTTACAACAATTATTTTACCGTTAATTTGTTGGACACCCAGTAGTGTTTTTTCGGTATACAGTTTAGTATACTTTCATCAGTACTGTTGCACTGGTAGTCTCAGGACATTACCAGTGCTCTTCCCGTAAAGTCTGTAAAGCACTGGTATTTCTTTTGACTACCAGTGCAACAGCAGGTGCTGATGAAGTGGTGGTACTTAAGTTAGTACGGTTAAAACACTAGTAGTGTCCACACACACACACACACACACACACACACAAAATCAATACCAGATATTTGTTGCTATCAATTGATGTTAAATTAAAGTAAATTAAACTTAAATAATAATTTTACTATTAAAATACATTTAAAATTAATTTTTTGTTATAGCATAATAAATTTATATATATATATATATATATATATATATACAGTACATATGGTATATATATGGTATATATACGGTATATATACGGTATTTATACGGTATATATACGGTATATAAAATTATAATAATATTCTATAATAAAAAACAAAATATTATTTTGTTAAACATATGTTTAGTATAAAAAAGAGTTTTAGTTAGTATTGCTTAAAAAACAGTATTAAAAAACAAACATTTTTTTAATTTCAAAAAATATGGTCAAATAATATCGACAATACCTTCAATAATACATCATTTATCAGTGATAAAAAATCGATATTATTAGCAACAACAAAAAAATATTGAAACTAATTGTAAAAATGTATTATTAAAAAAAAACAATTAATTAATAATTTAGTTAGTATTGCTTAAAACAGTTTCAACAATCCATTCAATAAATTTTGATACACGCATAAAAACCATTTGTGTAGTGGGATCGGGATTTAGACAATAACCGACCGGTTTGTTTACAGCTAAACTGCTGCTCACACCGATAAGTACGGCCCGATTCTGACCATCACTACTATCGCTACTTAAAACATTTTGAATCAATGGTCCGCCAGAATCGCCCTAATTATTGTTAGTTTATAAAAAAAAAATAATATTTATTAACAAATAATATATAATAAAATAAAGATTTAAAAAAAAGTTTGCTATAATATATATATATATGCCTTGCAAGTAGCCGTTCCTCCATTAGTCGGATATCTAAAGGCTATGATCCAAGCGCCCCAGGCATCGGTACTATTGGTAAATATTTTCATCAACTTTAGCCAACCCGTCCTCAATGGTCCCGGATTACTCACTCCCTGATCAATGTAACCAAAACCAGCTACCAGTCCCAACTCGTCATCGATATTAACAATGTTTTTCTCCGGCAAACAAATACCGTTTACCGTATAATACCCGGCCGTATGTGTGATAGGAATATTTGAATCCAATTTCAGTAATGCAATATCGAAATACTGATTAAATAATTAATTAATTAGAAATATATATATATATACAAAAAATTATTTGTGTAATGTTTAATATATCTATTGACAGTTATTTGATTACATAATTATAAAATTTAAAAAAAATCTTAAAATATATAAATAAATTTTGTTATATTTTATAGATTATTTCTATAAGATATTAGTTTTGATTATTTTAAATAATTAGTATTTTTCTAAAATATATAATTATTTAGTTAAAAAAGTTTAGATTAACATTATAATACATTGGTATTATATATTAGATATCAATATATATATATAAATATATTGATAGTAAAAGTATTATACCGTTAATGTCAAAAAATATATTTTGTTTCATATCCAGTATATAAACTAATATGAATTTTTATATTATAAAAAAATAATCAAAAAATATATAATATATGTATACGTCTTTGAGTTTATCCGTATATAATGGATGTCTGAACCATTGATTTACACCATATATATGACTCTTATCATTGCTATCCTGAACTGTACGCACAGTTAGTGTGTGACCGGAACTTAATTAAAAAAAAATAATATAAATACATTACTTAATAATAATTAACTTAATTTAATAAATAATTAAATAAATATAATTATATCAATAAACAAACTAAACAAATATAATGTTAAACAATAATAAATTAATAAGTTATTAAATTTGTTGCTATATTAAAGTAATTAATTATTTATGTTTTTATTTTGATAGCATAGCATACTGTATACAATGCGCTGCTGTTATAATCCAATTGGTGTTTAGTATAACTCCAGTACAATATACCCTATAAAATATTAAATAAGTTTTTTATAAATAGTTTAATTTTTTAATCTATTTTATCTTACTAAATAATTAAATAAAATATTAAATTGCAAACCATTCTAACGGAATAAACTCTAGAAAATAATATGTAGAATAGATATATACAATCCATGGCCACTCTCCCGGTTGAGCTAACCGTCCGTTTTGTACACTTGTAGTCACATTTGATGACCACTTGAAACAGTTTTTTGTAGTTAACAGTGACTGCCGTCCGATACCACACGTGTCGAGCGTTACGTTCGGATAGTGTTTGATCTGTGAGTGAATGCAAACACTGAACGACACCAATACTGATGACAACAATACTATTAATCAAAAATAATTAATAAATAAATAATTATATATTTAAATAAAAATGTTTTATAATTTAAGTTTTTTATTATAAAAAATCATATAAAACATTAACAAACATAAGTTTAGCAAAATTTTCATTATGATATCCTTTAAAATTTATGTATATTTCAATCCTATTCTATTATTAATACTTTTACACTAAAAAAACTATTATTTAAACTTAAATTTTTTTTATAGATTTTCTAATTATTATAATTATTTATTTAATTTCAAATATTACTACTTGAATATTTTAAATTTATATTGTTTTTAATATTAAACAAAAATTAACAAATAGTTGTAAATTTCTTCAATTGATAATTAATACATAAAAGATATTTACATTAATGTATTGAATTACAAATTTTATAAAAATATTTTATTACCTTTTTTTATAATCATTATATTAATTTTGATAAAATATAATAATACAATTGTCAGATAGATTTTATGCAATTTATATCTACAAATAAAGCATAAAATATATTATATTATTAATATAATACACAGTTTTATTTAATAATTAAAAAATTTTACAATAATACTATAAAATACATTTTAGTAAAATTTTAAAATAACACAGAAATTTTTTAGAAAAAAATAATTAATTATATAATTTCATAAAAATTATATATATATATATATCAATTATAATAAAGTTAACATTTTAAGATAATAGTTTTTTTTTATTATTGACTGATACTTTTCCACAACAACCATAATTTAATGAAAATCTAAAAATGTATTGTTATTTAATTTTTTAATTATTAATCAATGCAATGTTATTTCTATATAAAAAAAATTAAAAAATGTTTATTTAACACTGGTAGGTTTTTAGGGACAGGTAAGCGAACCTATGTTTTGTTTATGGATCTTAATATATGATATGTGTTATAGGATACTGTGTGGTTGACTAATTGTTTTAAAATTTTGTAACATTTTTTTCAAATGCAAAACTTTTCAATTTGTATTAAAATATTTTATATTTATACATATATATATGTGTATTTATATATATATATATATATATATATATATATATATATATATATATATATATGTATATATATATGTGTGTGTATTCGTGTGTATTTATTTAAATATATAAATATATATATATATATTTATATATATGTGTATATATATATATAAATATTTATATATATATGTATATATATATAAATGTAGTGTATATATACACACAGATATGTATGAATATATATAAATGAATATATATGTGTATATATATACACAGATATGTATGAATATATATAAATGAATATATATGTGTATATATATACACAGATATGTATGAATATATATAAATTAATATATATGTATATATATACACACAGATATGTATGAATATAAATAAATGAATATATATGTATATATATACACACAGATATGTATAAATATATATAAATGAATATATATGTATATATATATACATAGATATGTATGAATATATATAAATGAATATATATATGTATATATATATACACACAGATATGTATGAATATATATAATAAAATTATTGATTTATTTATTTTTTAATTATACTTATCTTCTCTTTTATCTGAACCGCAAAAAAATCCGCTTTTATTAACAACATAAAAACATTTGTTACCCTCTGGACAGCCAACCTTACGACAGTCCTGTAGACGCAGTGTATTAGTCAAACATGACATATAGACATTGATGACTATCATCAACATCAGTGACCACCATATCGTGGACCAACTGCGCTGATTGCAGGCACCAGTAGTCTGATTGATATGTAAACCATTGTTACCGTTAGTGTTGGTCATCATTAACATCGACACTTGGATATCAAATTAGTTTAAAAATCTACTGTATATTAAAATATACTGTATTTATAGTTATATAAACTGTATATATATTTAATGAAAAAATGCTAATAAATTAATTTACAAAAAAACTATTAATTCAATAAACAAATTGATTATTAAAAAAAATTGTTATACCTTTTTAGATTGTTTAGTATTTTACTGATTGTATATTAATTACTAAATAATACCTAATATATATATATATATATATATGTTTGTAAAATATGTTTTTCGTTGGTATTTTTAAAAAATATATAAAACTAAAATTCAAATATGTTTTTCAAAAGAGATATATAAAATTTAAAAAAAATAAAATAATATCAATTACAGAAAAATAATTTTTTTTTTAAAAAATGACTTATTATTAAAAATAACAAATTTTTTAAAAACTTATAATAGATTACAATAGATTAAATTATTTAATTATTAAATGTTTGTTTAATATTAGAAATATAAATTTATAAAAATTTTAAGTCATAAATTATAATATTTTTTTTTAAAAAATCAATCATTTTTTAGATTTCAAAAAATATGACAAATTTGAATATTACAACAACTATCAGTGAAAGTACAGTAACTGATTGTAAGAAATTTTTTATTGAAAAACTTGTAATCAATTAATTAATTATTATTTTTTAAAATCTAATTAATTGATTTTTACAGATCCTTTTGATGTTCGATATCAATGTCATTACATTTGTCTTATGCATATTAATGGCAGTAATGTTAATATCGGCGATAGTTGTCATCATTTATCGCAAACATACAGTAATTACTGTACAAAATACTAATGAAAATATGGACAACACTTGCCGGCAAACTATTGGCGATAGAAATGATGAGACATTTGATGACTTCAATGACGACAACATCAGGTGTGGACCAAACACTATGATTGAACTTCAGATACGACAACAACAACAACAACAACAACAACATATGATTGACAGATATTGAATCAATTAATATGCAACTAAAAAATGTTTGACTTATTATATAATAAATATTTTATATATGATTATTGTTAGGGATTTGATTTTACAGTATAGAAGTTATATAATATATACAGTATAATATATACTGTATATAAATACTATATATTATATACATTATAATTAGTTAAATGTTTGCTAATATTAAGTTTTGAAAAAAATAAAATACATTTTTTTTGTTTATAAGATATGTAGACATTTTTCATAAACACTTTTTTATGTTTGTTTTTATTCTAATGAATCAATCATACAATTTATAAATATTCAATTTAATATTATAAATCTTATATATTTTTAAATAACTTTTAAAAATTTCTATACAAATAATTCATTGATATAATAAAATTTTATATAATACAGTTTACTTTACATATTATTAAAATTAATAATTAATCAAAAACAACAACAACAACAACATAAAATTACCAAACAATTTAATAATAATTTTTATAAATATTATAAATTTAAAAAAAATGTTTTTATTAAACACATAAATTAAATAATTTTTTTATTAAATACAATTGTATTTAATGTGTAATTTATAAATAAATTTTAGTTTTTCAAAATAAATTACAGTATTAAACATTTTGTTTAACATACAGTATTTAAAATTATTTAAAGTTAGTTAAAGTTAGTTAGGCATTTATTGATTGTTAATTAATAAAAATGTTAATTGAAAAAAATCTTATTGTATTTTATATAATTTAATTCAAACATTATTAATATTTATAGTTAGCATAATACACGGTGGCTCATCAAGAGTTATTTTCAAAATACACCACTTATTTCAAAAACTACTAATTATATTTTATTTTAACAAAAAATATTATAAAATATGATAAATGGGATTACATATTTTAATTAGATAAATTTTCAAAATGGCCGCCATTAATTGCAATTAAATGGCAAAGTTGGGTGTACAAAATTGGATGTTACCCGTACTTTCATATATTGCTGTATGGCCCGTATCTCACTTTCAATCATTTTTGTGAATTCTTCAATAGATTGAGGGTTGGATATGTAAACCATATCTTAAAATAAACCCAAAAAAAATAATCACACGTGTTGAAATCGGGTAAATATGGAGGTAAAATCATTTCCGCCGCCAGTCTTCTTGGGCGCATCCAAACCTATAATCCGATCACCAAAACACTCTCTAAGTTGTTCAAAGATATCTTGTGTTCTGTAAGGTCGTGAACCATCTTGTTTAAACCAGTAACAATCAAGCAATCTTTTTATCTTCAGCAGACCTTATGTCCTGCACAATGATTTAAGTCCTGTAGATCTCTGATATCACAAATTTCTCTTAAAAATATAGGCCCAATTATTTCTTTGTCACTAATAGCACATCATATGGCGACAGGTTCTGGATGTAGCGGTCGCGTGATAGTCAAAATATAATAAATAAGGACAATTTCGACTTTTTACACCTGACTTTGCCATTTAATTGCAATTAAAGGCGGCCATTTTAAAAATTTTTTTTATAAAAATATGTAATCCCATTTATCATATTTTATAATATTTTTTGTTAAAATAAAATATAATTAGTAGTTTTTGAAATAAGTGGTGTATTTTGAAAATAACTCCTGATGAGCCAGCCTGTATATACAATAACTACTTTAATATATTATAATTATATGTAAATAACTTTTAGATTAAAAATATTTCAATTGATTCATTGTATTGATAGTATGGCGGAACTGTGTTCGCCAATTGATGGCATTTAAAATTAGTTAGATATCAGTTTAAAGTTAGTTAAAAATTAGGTATTGTTTAAAACAGTATCAACAATCCAATCAATAAATTTTGATACTCTTGAAAAAACCATTTCAGTATCGGGATCGGGATTAAGACAATAACCGACTGGTGGTTTAACAGCTGCACCGCCAATCACACCGATAAGTACGGCCCGATTCTGACCATCGATACTATCACTACTTAAAACATTTTGAATCAATGGTCCGCCAGAATCGCCCTAATTATTGTTATAGTTTAAAAAAAATAATAATTATTAACAAATAATATATTAAATAAAATAGAGATTAACTAAAAAGTTTGCTATAAATTATTTATGCCTTGCAAATAGCCATTCCTCCATTAGTCGGATATCTAAAGGCTCTGATCCGAGCCCCCCATATATCTGTAATATTGCTAAATGTTTTCATTAACTTTAACCAACCCGTCCTCAACGGTCCCGGATTACTGACTCCCCGATCAATGTAACCAAAACCGGCAAACAGTGCCAACTCGTTATCGATGTTAACAATGTTTATCTCAGGCAAACAAATACCGTTTACCGTATAATACCCGGCCGTATGTGTGATAGGAATATTTGAATCCAATTTCAGTAATGCAATATCCAAATACTGATTAAATAATTAATTAATTAGAAATATAATAAAAAATTTCCTACAATACTAATTACATTATATGTTAGATAATTATATGTCCTAATGTTTAATATATCTACAGTTTAGACAGTTTTAATAATAAAAACAAAATTAATTATGTATTATATTCGTATAAATAATTTCTATAGTATTGGGTTTATTTTAATATACTGTAAATATTATTATAGTTTTACTGTAATATATTATGTATAGTACACATACTTATATATATATATATATATATACTATATATACCGGTTTGAGATGATCCGTATAGTTGTAATGTATGAACCATTGATTTACTCCGTATGTATGACTCTTATCATTCCTATCCTGAACTGTCCGCACAATTATTGTCCGATCGGTACTTATTTATCATTAAAATTCAAACAATTAATAAATAATTATATATATAAATTATTTTCAATAAGACTGATATATATTTGATATATATATATATATATATATATATATATATATATATATATATATATATATATAATAATAATAATAATACAGTAATTATTAATATTTAAGATAATTTAATATCATACAGTATACAATGTGCAGCTGTTATAATCCAATTGGTGTTTAGTATAACTCCAGTACAATATACCCTATAAAATATTTCAATACAAATATTAAATATAAAATATATAAAGTATTGTTTGTTTTTTCTAAAATATAATTAATAAATTTTAATAAAAAATAAAATAAACTGTAAACCATACTAATGGTATAAAGCCTAGAAAATAATATGTAGAATCTATATATACAATCCATGGCCACTCTCCCGGTTGAGCTAACCGTCCGTTTTGTACACTTGTAGTCACATTTGATGACCACTTGAAACAGTTTTTTGTAGTCAACAGTGACTGCCGTCCGATACCACACGTGTCGAGCGTTACGTTCGGATAGTGTTTGATCTGTGAGTGAATGCAAACACTGAACGACACCAATACTGATGACAACAATACTATTAATCAAAATAATTATATTAAATATATTTAATTTAAATAATAAAAATGTTTTCAAAATAATCTTTGTTTTAATTTAAATTTAAGTAAATAAATATACAAACATAATGTTAACATTTCATGCATTTTATGATATCATTGATTTGATAATAATTATTATTTCTAAAAAAATATTTTCGTTTTTTGTAATGATTTTTTTATAAAATATTAATAACTTATTATAATCTGAGATAAAATTAACTGAATATTAATTTTTCTTAAACATTAAATATTAAATTTCTATTAAATCTTATGATTTTTTATAGTATATTAATTTAAAAAATACAATACAATTTTAAATATCAAATGTTTTTTATATAATCTATTAAATGTTAATATAAAAAATATTATTTAGTGCAAATTATTTTATTATAAATAAATAATATTTTAATTAGTAAACTAAAAGTAATGTAACTTTATATTCACTATATTATAATATAATACTATATAGTTTTTTATCAATAGTATATTATTTTTTGAATAATAGTGTTTTAATACAATTTTTTACAATTTTACATAAAAAAATTTTTAATTAAAATCTAATTGATACTAAACAATACTATTAATCAAAATAATTATGAATTTATTTAATTTAAATAATAAAAATGTTATAAAAATAATTATTTTAACTTAATTTTAAATAAATAAATATACAAACATAACATTTTATGCATTTTGTCTTTTCATTGATTTGATAACTACTATTATATATAATAAAATATTTTTGGTTTTTTGTAATGTTTTTTATATAAAGTATTAATAATTTATAATAATTTGAGATAAAATTAACTGAATATTAATTTTTAATTAAACATTATATATCAAATACATTTTTATATTTAAATAAAAATATTAAATTTCTATTAAATCTTATGATTTTTATAGTATATTAATTTACAAAATACAGTACATTTTTAAATATCAAATTTTTTATATAAACTATTAAATAATAAATATTAGTCTATTTTTTTTGTATTATTTTTAATTATTTAACAAAGAGTTAGCTTAATATTTAATAAATTATTAATATTAATAGTATATTATTTTTTTTTAACTAATAGTGTTTTAATACAATTTTTTACATTTTGATTAAAATTTAATTGATTGTTAATTAATAAAATGTTGACTGAAAAATATTATAGTATTTTATATAATTTAATTCAAACATTATTAATATGTAAGTTAGCATAATATATACAATAACTAAGTTTCTATATTATAATTAATTATAAATAAGTTTTACATTAAAAATATTTCAATTGATTCATAGTATTGATAGTATGTCTAAACTGTTTGCCTATTGATGGCATACATTCATCCATCAAATACTATCCCAATGTAACACTCATTGACTGTGGTATCGGTCGGGAGTCAAACATTATGAACGACCAGTGCTTTAGATTTTATACGAGTTATGATATGACCCGAAATATACAGTACGGACGCAATATTACCGACGGAGAGATGCCGTTCATAGCATTCATACACTCAAAGCTCAGAAATAAACCAAAACTAAAGTATAAAAATATATTTTATATTAATTAATTAATTATTATTATTTAAAAAAAACAGTTAAATGTTAACTTTTAATTAAAATACTGTATATATTTATAAATATTCTATATCTTTACATTAATATATAAATATAATTTTTATTTTAATCTTAAATTTAAGTTTTTATTGTTCGGGCACTATATTAAACAATTGGTGGATACTGACCGCTGGCCATTGTATTTAGTATGTATTGTATCAACAAAAAAACAATAATTATTAAAGTCATAATAGTTTTAATACTATTAATTAGTATTATAATTGTTTGAATTTATTGTATTTTATACTTTAAAATAACTAATATTAATATTTATAAATATATAATATAATTATAAATACAAGCAAACAATCTCAAGGCTATTACGATGAGATACGTGTCTATCCCGGTGTTCACGATGTGTCCCATTTGCCCGACAAATATAGCCGATCGCTCCTGGCGTTTGTCCATCCAGACTATCAGTTTGAATATAGCATTTCACATGATTTAGGACTTATTAAACTATACAAACCGTTACACCTACTGATGTCCGATAGTAGCAATGGTGTAGTCGGCTATCGTAAGTTGAATGCGGTTTGTTTGCCACCGGAAGGCATCCGACACGACAGCAGAGAGCTGGCAGTTATCGGTGGCTATGGATCTATCGGTCCGAACGAGATGTTGAAGAGTTGGCCGCGAATGGGTTGGACTGTCATCAAAAAGCACGACGAGTTTGTGAACGACGACAACGAAAATCTTATTATTACTGATAATAAAGCAATTAATTCGTCGATAGGCTGTGCAGTTAGTATTGTCACACATAGACACACACATAGACACACACATAGACACACACATAGACATACACATACACATACACATACACATACACATACACATACACATACACACACATACACATACACATACACATACACATACACATACACATACACATACACATACACATACACATACACATACACATACACATACACATACACATACACATACACATACACATACACATACACATACACATACACATACACATACACATACACATACACATACACATACACATACACATACACATACACATACACATACACATACACATACACATACACATACACATACACATACACATACACATACACATACACATACACATACACATACACATACACATACACATACAGATACACATACACATACACATACACATACACATACACATACACATACACATACACATACACATACACATACACATACATATACACATACACATAAACATTTTTATAATATTTACCCAGGGCGATTCAGGCGGACCACTGGTCCAATATGTGAAAGGACGGGCTGTACTAATCGGTATATTTAAGGGCTATTATGGCACCGACAGTGACAGCATGTGTTTGGACTCGTTATCATCGCCCGGTGTCTACAGTAGATATACTCGTATTTCAAACAATATTAATTGGATAATTAATATTACAACAAATAATTGAAAAATTTATATTGCATTTTATTAATTCAATTAGCTATACATTTAGATAGTTATTTATAAATAATTATTAATATTATGTTTAATTAGAAACAAAAATCTAAATAAGTATTATATATAATTTATATAATATAAACTATAAAAATTATATAATTATAATTACATTTATACTATATATCATAGTTAGTAAACTAATGTTATTTTTTCTATATTTAACTATTTAAAAACTATTATTATTAGACAATAATCATGTAGTATATTATATAAATTATAATATTAATAGCCTTACAAAATGATAGCATAAATAAAAATAAGATAAATATAATAGTATTGATAATAACCATGATTTAAGACAAACGTACCACTGATTACATGTTTGTCTTTGTCCAGCTCTTCGGTAATATTCATAAATGATATAAAATCGGTGGATGTCTTGTAGACTCCTTTGATGGCAATTACCAGTTTGTCTCCTCTTTCCTCTTTCAACTTACTGTCCAAACATACATTTCCATCGCATTCTTGCGGCCACAAAGTCTTCTCTATTTCGCTGAACGACACCCGTATCGGACCGGACTTATCCCAAACAACGGCTAGTATTTCCAAATCTGCGGTAAAAGGTATGAGAAGATCCTTATAGTATTCAAGGTATGCCTTCAACCAAACAGTACGATAGGGTTTGACAGTAAGTTCCTGTTTGTAGGCAATGGTTTCTTCGTTTGTGTTGCCATTTGTGACCACTTTTTCGCCGCCATGTATGACCTCTTTGACATATTTAATACCAAACTTGACGTTAAGTTTTCTTGTGAACATCAATTTGATAGCATCTATAGGTATACTAGCGGTCATTTCGGTGCCAAAATCAATGTTGAAATCGTATACAGTTTTTTCCGTTGTCTGCCAAATGTCTTTGACAGACAATTCCGATGTATAAGTCTTTTTGAACTGTTTTTCATATTTCCGTACAATGTTAGTATCGGCACCGTTAGCAAAAGTAACGGTATCTAGTTTTTCAATGACTTTGGTGCTACTTTGTTTGACATCCTAGTATTTATGTGACATTAAAATAAAAATTATACATTAGATATTTTTTAAAAAAAATAATAAATTTTTTAAATACAGAATACCTCTAGAGTTTTGGTAAACTTGAAATTTTTGATAGCCATAGCGTTTCCATTGCCCATCCAATCAATAGGTGTGGCAGTAAATTCTAAATAAACAATGAATATATATATATTTGGTTTATGGCTATATATATATATATATATATATATATATATATATATATTAAATAAAATAAGTTTAATTAAAAGTAATTACCTATTGTTACCATATTTTTGACAATATATGGAATATCAATTATATTAATCAATTCAGCTTTAAATTTGTTATTTGAATTGTATTCAAGTTCCCTATAATCAGAATTTGTGACTTTTCTAAATAAAATCTTTTGGTTAGTTTTGTCAAATTTGCAATACGAGCGCTTGTTTTCGGGTATGCCTAACGCATCGGCTCCTAGACCTATATGAATATTTTTTATTGGATTTTTTACTACATAGAAGACATCATCGATATGGCAATCGTATAGTGTATCGTAATAATGATCGGTAGGTTTACGATTCCGGTCATAAATCATGCGATCGTTTGTATCTATTATCATAACATTTGTAGTGATAATAACAGTAACTGTTAGACAAAACAGTTTGAAAACATTTGGAAATAACATATCTGTATACTGTATAGTGTATACAATGTTATTTATAAAAAAAAATTAGTATAAAATTATTATTTTAAAAAAACTACTGTATATAGAAAAGTTAATAAGAAAATTTTTAGTAAAATATTAATATATTTGTTTGAATAATTAAAAAGTTTGCAATTTATATGCTGTTTATATACCTTTTTGTATGTGTAAACTTAACAAACGTTATAAAAACAATAGAAAATTTACGTACAAATATTTTTAAGTAAATTTGCATAGCAATCATTATTTGTTTAACCTTAGTTTGAATGTTTTACTAGAAATTTTACAGAAAATTATATCAAAAGTAATACATTAATATTCTAATATCTATACACAATAAAAAAGTTTTAGTTAGTATTTTTACAGTAAATTAATTATACATAAAATAAATACAAAATATATATATATCTAATAATTAAATAAAATTTTATACTATTTTTTATTTTCAAATAATTTTATAAATCATTTAATTTTATATATAATAATATTTTTGTTCTATTATATTATATTATTTCACTTTAAAGAATTTTATTATCTAAAAATATAAAATATATTTAATGTAATAATATTAAAATAAATAAAAATAGCGTTATAATATACAAAATGTAAATATATAATAATTAACACAAAAAAACAATAAAATAAATTTATTGTCTATTAAACTAAATTTATTACTTTTTATATAATAATATTATAACTTTAGTATTAAGTTTGTATTAAAATAATAATTATTTTTTTTATCAATTACGTGTCTTTTTTTTATTGTGAAAAGCAATTTAATTATTAATTAATACTAATAGCCTAGTGGTTGGCCCAACAGTTATTTCCACTTGTGGTTATATATCATACATACTGTATATGTATTTTTTTTTTTGCTTTTTACCTACCTGTGCTATTATTTTAATTTACTATTACTATTTATTTTATCAATTTGTTGTATTATGTCTTATAATTAAACATATATATATATAACTAATTTGTTTAACATAACTGTAATTACTGTTAATAATAACAACATAATTAAAAATAAAAATAGATTTCAATAATCAATAGTCTGTATTAATAATCTCATTTCAATAATATTTGCTACTCTAATAAAATACAATTAATAAAATGTTAACTGGTAAATTAATATTATTATTTTTATATAATTCAATTTTTAATATTATTTTATCATTTTTAGTTTAGTTTCTATGAGGGTTTAATTTTTTACATATTATATTATTACTCATGTTTTGATTTATGTCTGATCTTTGAGTGTATGAATACTATGAAAGGCATCTATCCGTCGGTAATGTCTGTACTGTATATTTCGGGTCATATCATAAATCGTATAAAATCTAAAGCACTGGTCGTTCATAATGTTTGACTCCCGGACCGATACCACAGTCAATGATTGTTATATATTGGGGATAGTATTTGATGGATGAATGTATGCCATCAATAGGCACAAAGTTCAGCCACACTATCAAAACTATATATAATTCAATTGTAATATTTTTTTAATGTATAAATTATTTTTAATTAATTAAAACGTAAAAACTAAGTAATTGTATATATATATATATATATATATTATGCTAACTTACATATTAATAAAACTTTTCAATAAAAATTATATAAAATACTTTTCAGTTTTTTTAGGTAAAATTTTGTATCAAAACACTATTATTCAAAAAAGTGATATACTATTACAAAAAAACATATATTAATATTATATATTAATACTGTATATTAAATATTAAGTTACATTACGCTTAGTTAACTAATTAAAAGTATTATCTATTTATAATCAAATAATTTGCAAAAAAATAGAATAATATTTTTAAAATTAACATTTAATAGTTTATATAAAAAAAATTGATATTTAAAATTTTATTATATTTTTTAAATTAATATACTATAAAAAATCATAAGATTTAATAGAAATTTAATATTTAATGTTTAAGAAAAATTAATATTCAGTTAATTTTATCTAATATTATAATAAGTTATTAATATTTTATAAAAAAAACATTACAAAAAAACAAATATTTTTTTAGAAATAATAATTGTTATCAAATCACTGAAATCACACAAAATGAATGAAATGTTAACATTATGTTTGTATATTTATTTACTTAACTTTAAGTTAAAGTAATAATTTTGAAAACATATCTATTATTTAAATTAAATATATTTAATATAATTATTTTGATTAATAGTATTGTTGTCATCAGTATTGGTGTCGTTCAGTGTTTGCATTCACTCACAGATCAAACACTATCCGAACGTAACGCTCGACACGTGTGGTATCGGACGGCAGTCACTGTTGACTACAAAAAACTGTTTCAAGTGGTCATCAAATGTGACTACAAGTGTACAAAACGGACGGTTAGCTCAACCGGGAGAGTGGCCATGGATTGTATATATAGATTCTACATATTATTTTCTAGGCTTTATTCCATTAGCATGGTTTACAGTTTATTTTATTTTTGTATTAAAATTTATAAATTATTTTATAAAAACAAACTATACTTAAATATTTTATATTTAATATTTGTGTTGAAATATTTTATAGGTCATATTGTACTGGAGTTATACTAAACACCAATTGGATTGTAACAGCAGCACATTGTATATAGTATGATATTATTTAATTAGATATTAATAATTATTGTATTATTATTATTTTGTTATGTATATAGAAACTAATTTTTAACTTATTAAATATAGATTTAACTTATTAGTTAAATATCATATGTTTATTTATTTATTTATTTATTATTATTATTTAGATGTAATAATAATATGTAAATTAATTAATTTTTCTTTAAAAATTGCATCAATCATATTGAAAATATTTTTATATATAATTATATATTTATTGTTTGTATTTTAATGATAAATTAAGTACCGATCGGACAATAACTGTGCGGATAGTTCAGGATAGTAATGATAAGAGTCATACATACGGTGTAAACCAATGGTTCATACATTACAACTTTACGGATAAAATCAAACCGGTATATATATATTTATCTACAGTGTGTGTGTGTGTGTGTGTGTGTGTGTGTGTGTGTGTGTGTGTGTGTGTGTGTGTGTGTGTGTGTGTGTGTGTGTGTGTGTGTGTGTGTGTGTGTGTGTGTGTGTGTGTGTGTGTGTGTGTGTGTGTGTGTGTGTGTGTGTGTGTGTGTGTGTGTGTGTGTGTGTGTGTGTGTGTGTGTGTGTGTGTGTGTGTGTGTGTGTGTGTGTGTGTGTGTGTGTGTGTGTGTGTGTGTGTGTGTGTGTGTGTGTGTGTGTGTGTGTGTGTGTGTGTGTGTGTGTGTGTGTGTGTGTGTGTGTGTGTGTGTGTGTGTGTGTGTGTGTGTGTGTGTGTGTGTGTGTGTGTGTGTGTGTGTGTGTGTGTGTGTGTGTGTGTGTGTGTGTGTGTGTGTGTGTGTGTGTGTGTGTGTGTGTGTGTGTGTGTGTGTGTGTGTGTGTGTGTGTGTGTGTGTGTGTGTGTGTGTGTGTGTGTGTGTGTGTGTGTGTGTGTGTGTGTGTGTGTGTGTGTGTGTGTGTGTGTGTGTGTGTGTGTGTGTGTGTGTGTGTGTGTGTGTGTGTGTGTGTGTGTGTGTGTGTGTGTGTGTGTGTGTGTGTGTGTGTGTGTGTGCAACCCAATATTATCATAAATAATTTATATGAATTTTATTATTAAATCTGTCTATACTGTAGATATATTAAACATTAGGACATATAATTATCTAACATATAGTTAGAATTGTAGGAAATTTTATTTTTGTTAATGTATTAAAAATTTATTAACAGTATTTTGATATTGCATTACTGAAATTGAATTCACATATCCCTATCACACGTACGGCCGGGTATTATACGGTAAACGGTATTTGTTTGCCTGAGATAAACATTGTTAACATCGATGACGAGTTGGCACTGGTGGCTGGTTTTGGTTATATTGATCGGGGAGTCAGTAATCCGGGACCGTTGAGAACGGGTTGGTTAAAGTTAATGAAAACATTTGGCAATATCACAGATATATTTGGCGCTCGGATCAGAGCCTTTAGATATCCGACTAATGGAGGAATGGCTACTTGCATGGTATATATACATATATATATAGTATATATATATAGTATAGTATATACAGTATATATATATATATCAGAATATCAGTATATATACTGTATATATATATTATAACAAACATTTTTCTCTTATATTTTATTATTTATTATATATATTTAATAATAATTACAATAATTAGGGCGATTCTGGCGGACCATTGGTTCAAAATGTTTTAAGTAGTGATAGTAGTGATGGTCAGAATCGGGCCGTACTTATCGGTGTGATTGGCGGTGCATCTGGTAAACCACCGGTCGGCTATTGTCATAATCCCGATCCCGATAGTGCAATGGTTTTTCTAAGAGTATCAAAATTTATTGATTGGATTGTTGATACTGTTTTAAACAATGCCTAACTAACTAACTTTAACTAACTTTAACTAACTTTAACTAACTTTAACTAACTTTAACTAACTTTAACTAACTTTAACTAACTTTAACTAACTTTTACTAATTTTAAATACTGTATGTTAAACATAATGTTTAATACTGTAATTTATTTTGAATAACTAAAATTTATTTATAAATTACACATTAAATAAATCGTAATTAATAACAAAATTTTATTTTTTTTTAAAAATAAAACCTATTTAATTTATTCCATTAATAAAAACATTTTTTTAAATTTATAATATTTCTAAAAAGTGCAAAAATTATTAATAAATTGTTTGGCATTTGTTGTTGTTTTTGATTAATTATTAATTTGAATTTTTTAAAAAAAATATAACATTTATAATATTAAATTAAATATTTATAAATTTATGATTATAGATTAATTAGAAAAAAACAAACATTAAAAAAGTGTATGAAAAATGTCGACATATCTAATAAAAAATTAAGAAATATATATTTTTTACAAAATTTAATATTAGCAGACATTTAGCTAATTATAAAATATATAATATATAAAAATTTATAACAGTATATATATATATATAGTGTATATTTTATATACTGTATAATCATATATATAATATTTATTATATATAGTAATAAAATATGATAAGTCAAACATTTTTTAGTCATATATTGATTGATTTATCCATCAATCATATGCTGTTGTTGTTGTCGTATCTGAAGTTCAATCATAGTGTTTGGTCCACACCTGTTGTTGTCGTCAATGTTGTCATCAAATGTCTGATCATTTCTATAACCAATAGTTTGTTCGTAAGTGTTGTCCATAATTTGATTAGTAGTCCGTCCAGTCATTACTGTTTGTTTGCGATAAATGATGACAACTATCGCCGATATTAACATTAATGCCATTACTATGCATAAGACAAGTGTAATGACATTGATATTGACATTATAAGGATCTGTAAAAATCAATAAATTAGATAAAAATTAATTAATTAATTAATTGATTACATGTTATTCAATAAATATTTTCTTACAATCAGTTTCTGTACTTTCACTGATAGTTGTTGTAATATTCAAGTAGTTGTTATTAGTTGTCATATTTCTAGAAATCTAAAAAATGTTTGTTTTTTTAAAAAAAAATATTATAATTTATGAAATTATATTTTTTTACCCACAGTTGTTATGTTTTTTTGTGTTAAATTATACGACTAAAAGTTGATGTGATAAAACTGTATATATATTAAGTATTTTTGTCACAGTAACTAATATTTATTAAAAAAAATAATATTAAATAATTAAAAAATTATTGTATTGTATAAAATTTTTTTAACATAAACACATACCAAAATTAATATATAAATATATAGAAATTTTAATAATATTTAATAAAAAAAACAATTTTTAAAATAAAAACTACTAAATATTAAATTAAAGTTAGCTATAAATTAAATATTACATAAATGTATTTAATTTACTGTATCATCAAAAAATAAAAACAATACTAACTTTAAGTACTTAAGTTATTATTAACTGTTTTAAATATACTGTAAATTGATTATACATTTTATAGTTATGTATTGTTAATAATTGTTGTTTTTGTTGTAGAAATTGTTATATAATAACATATTTTTATTTATATTTAAACTATTGATTGAATTTTTTGAAAATCTAAACTTATAATTGTTTATAATTTTGTTTGGTTAACAAATGTCTCATATTTTTCTAATTATAAACTATTAATTCAATTATGTTATATACTGTACAATGTTATTGTGTTATAAATATTTATAGTTAATTAATATACATTATAATACTAACTGCTGAACATTTGATATTAAGATATTATTGTAAAATAGTAAACAGGGAAATATTTTTATAATTAATCAATATATGTATCAAATACTGTATTTTTATATATATATTTAAAAAAATAAAAATAATGCAAATATATTACACAAACATAATTTTTTAAACATTAAAGCTATTATTTAATATATATCTATACAGTAAAATGTGTTTATAAAATATACATTTAAATTATATTGATAATTATTATTTTAAAAAATCAATATAATATTTATAACTTGTTTATAATTTTTAAATTTTAAAAATGTCTCATATTTTCTTAAAATGAAAACTAAACTATTAATTTAGTCATTAGTTATATAATATATTATGTAATATGTATTGTTATGGATAAATAAATTTAGTTTATTAATATATATAGTATACTAATGGATAAAAAATAATTTGATATTAAAATACTAATAGTAAACAATGGGAAATATTTTACTGATTATTCAATTTTATGTTTTGATTTGTTAAATATTTTTTTTTTAAATACTATACACTACATACTAAATGTCATTAGATTTTGTATATATTTTTAAAAAATTGTTTTTTAAAATAAAAATTTATATTTAAAAAAAAATAAAATTTCCTACAACTCCTAACTATATGTTAGATAATTATATATCCTAATTTTAAATGCCTTCAATGGACACACAGTTCAGCCATACTATCAATACAATGAATCAATTGAAATATTTTTAATGTAAAAGTTATTTACATATAATTATAATATATTAAATTAGTTATTGTATATATTATGCTAACTATAAATATTAATAATGTTTGAATTAAATTATATAAAATACAATAAGATTTTTTAGTTAACATTTTTATTAATTAAAAATCAATAAATACCTAACTAACTTTAACTAATTTTAAATACTGTATGTTAAACAAAATGTTTAATACTGTAATTTATATTGAGAAACTAAAATTTATTTATAAATTAATATATCTACAGTTTAGACAGTTTTAATAATAATAATTAATTATGTATTACATTCATATAAATTATTTCTATAGTATTGGGTTTATTTGAATTTACTGTAAATATCAATATAATATAAACCTGTAAACAGTTAAGTAAATATTATATAGTTTTACTATATTATATTATGTATAGTACACTGTGTTTAAATGTATATAATTTTAAATTTAAATGTTTAAATATATAATATATATACCGGTTTGAGATGATCCGTATAGTTGTAATGTATGAACCATTGGTTTACTCCGTATGTATGACTCTTATCATTCCTATCCTGAACTGTCCGCACAATTATTGTCCGATCGGTACTTATTTATCATTTAAATTCAAACAATAAATAAATAATTATATATAAAAATATTTTTAATAAGACTGATATATAAATATATATATATATAATTATAATAATAATAATACAGTAATTATTAATATTTAAATTAATTTAATATCATACCGTATACAATGTGCTGCTGTTATAATCCAATTGGTGTTTAATATAACTCCAGTACAATATACCCTATAAAATATTTCAACACAAATATTAAATATAAAATATATAAAGTATTGTTTGTTTTTTTCTAAAATATAATTAATAAATTTTAATAAAAAATAAAATAAACTGTAAACCATACTAATGGTATAAAGCCTAGAAAATAATATGTAGAATCTATATATACAATCCATGGCCACTCTCCCGGTTGAGCTAACCGTCCGTTTTGTACACTTGTAGTCACATTTGATGACCACTTGAAACAGTTTTTTGTAGTCAACAGTGACTGCCGTCCGATACCACACGTGTCGAGCGTTACGTTCGGATAGTGTTTGATCTGTGAGTGAATGCAAACACTGAACGACACCAATACTGATGACAACAATACTATTAATCAAAAAAAAAATATTAAATATATTTAAGTTAAATAATAGACATGTTTTCAAAATTATTATTTTAACTTAAAGTTAAGTAAATAAATATACAAACATAATGTTAACATTTCATTCATTTTGTGTGATTTCAGTGATTTGATAACAACTTTTATCTAATAATAAAATATTTGTGTTTTATACGTATTGTTATTATTTATGAAGTATTAATAACTTATTATAGTCTGAGTTATAATTAACTGTATATTAATTTTACTTAAACATTAAATTTCAATTTTTTTAATTGGTATATATAGAAAAAAATTATTATTAAATTTCTATTAAATATTTGATTTTTTTTATTATTAATTTACAAAATACAATACAATTTTAAATATCAATTTTTTTATATAAACTATTAAATGTTAATATAAAAAATATTATTCTATTTTTTGTGCAAATTATTTGATTATAAATAGATAATACTTTTAATTAGTTAACTAAATGTATTACTAATTCAATTAATAAAATGCAATTTAAATTTTTCAATTATTTTTAGTAATGTTTAGAATCCAATTAATATTGTTTGAAATACGAGTATAAACAATATATGCACCGGGAGATGATAACGAGTCCAAACAATTGCTGTCACTATCGGAGCCATAAATAGAGTTAAATATACCGATTAGTACAGCCCGTCCTTTCACATATTGGACCAGTGGTCCGCCTGAATCGCCCTGGGTAAATATTATATATATCAGTAATAAATATTTGTGTGTATGTGTATGTGTATATGTATGTGTATGTGTATGTGTGTGTGTATGTGTATGTGTATGTGTATGTGTATGTGTATGTGTATGTGTATGTGTATGTGTATGTGTATGTGTATGTGTATGTGTATGTGTATGTGTATGTGTATGTGTATGTGTATGTGTATGTGTATGTGTATGTGTATGTGTATGTGTATGTGTATGTGTATGTGTATGTGTATGTGTATGTGTATGTGTATGTGTATGTGTATGTGTATGTGTATGTGTATGTGTATGTTTATGTGTATGTGTATGTGTATGTGTATGTGTATGTGTATGTGTATGTGTGTGTGTGTGTGTATGTGTGTGTATGTGTGTGTMTGTGTGTGTGTWTGTATGTGTGTATGTATGTGTGTGTGTATGTGTGTGTATGTATGTGTGTATGTGTGTGTGTCTGTGTGTGTCTATGTGTGTGTCTATGTGTGACAATACTAACTGCACAGCCTATCGACGAATTAATTGCTTTATTATCGGTAATAATAAGATTTTCGTTGTCGTCGTTCACAAACTCGTCGTGTTTTTTGATGACAGTCCAACCCATTCGCGGCCAACTATTCAACATCTCGTTCGGACCGATAGATCCATAGCCACCGATAACTGCCAGCTCTCTGCTGTCGTGTCGGATGCCTTCCGGTGGCAAACAAACCGCATTCAACTTACGATAGCCGACGACACCATTGCTACTATCGGACATCAGTAGGTGTAATGGTTTGTATAGTTTAATAAGTCCTAAATCATGTGAAATGCTATATTCAAACTGATAGTCTGGATGGACAAACGCCAGGAGCGATCGGCTATAGTGGTCGGGCAAATGAGACACATCGTGAACACCGGGATAGACACGTATCTCATCGTAATAGCCTTGAGATTGTTTGCTTGTATTTATAATTATATTATATATTTATAAATATTAATATTAGTTATTTTAAAGTATAAAATACAATAAATTCAAACAATTATAATACTAATTAATAGTATTAAAACTATTATGACTTTAATAATTATTGTTTTTTTGTTGATACAATACATACTAAATACAATGGCCAGCGGTCAGTATCCACCAATTGTTTAATATAGTGCCCGAACAATAAAAACTTAAATTTAAGATTAAAATAAAAATTATATTTATATATTAATGTAAAGATATAGAATATTTATAAATATATACAGTATTTTAATTAAAAGTTAACATTTAACTGTTTTTTTTAAATAATAATAATTAATTAATTAATATAAAATATATTTTTATACTTTAGTTTTGGTTTATTTCTGAGCTTTGAGTGTATGAATGCTATGAACGGCATCTCTCCGTCGGTAATATTGCGTCCGTACTGTATATTTCGGGTCATATCATAACTCGTATAAAATCTAAAGCACTGGTCGTTCATAATGTTTGACTCCCGACCGATACCACAGTCAATGAGTGTTACATTGGGATAGTATTTGATGGATGAATGTATGCCATCAATAGGCAAACAGTTTAGACATACTATCAATACTATGAATCAATTGAAATATTTTTAATGTAAAACTTATTTATAATTAATTATAATATAGAAACTTAGTTATTGTATATATTATGCTACCTTACATATTAATAATGTTTGAATTAAATTATATAAAATACTATAATATTTTTCAGTCAACATTTTATTAATTAACAATCAATTAAATTTTAATCAAAATGTAAAAAATTGTATTAAAACACTATTAGTTAAAAAAAAATAATATACTATTAATATTAATAATATATTAAATATTAAGCTAACTCTTTGTTAACTAATTAAAAATAATACAAAAAATAGAATTATATTTATTATTTAATAGTTTATATAAAAAAATTTGATATTTAAAATTGTATTGTATTTTGTAAATTAATATACTATAAAAATCATAAGATTTAATAGAAATTTAATATTTTTATTTATATATTAATTAAATGTACATATTTTTACAAAATTTGATTTTTAATGTTTAAGAAAAAATTAATATTCAATTAATTTTATCTCAAATTATAATATGTTATTAATACTTTATAAAAACACAAATATTAGTAAATGTTAAAAAATTTAATATTTAATATACAGTTAATTATAATTCAGACTATAATAAGTTATTTTAGAAATAAAAACATTACACAAAAAACACAAATATTTTATTTTTAAATAAAAGTTGTTATCAAATCACTGAAATCACACAAAATGCATGAAATGTTAACATTATGTTTGTATATTTATTTACTTAACTTTAAATTAAAACAAAGATTATTTTGAAAACATATCTATTAATTAAATTAAATATATTTAATATAATTATTTTGATTAATAGTATTGTTGTCATCAGTATTGGTGTCGTTCAGTGTTTGCATTCACTCACAGATCAAACACTATCCGAACGTAACGCTCGACACGTGTGGTATCGGACGGCAGTCACTGTTGACTACAAAAAACTGTTTCAAGTGGTCATCAAATGTGACTACAAGTGTACAAAACGGACGGTTAGCTCAACCGGGAGAGTGGCCATGGATTGTATATATAGATTCTACATATTATTTTATGGGTTTTATTCCATTAGAATGGTTTGAAATTTATTAATTTTATTGAATTGTTTATTAAAATAAATAAACTTTTTTTATATAAAAAACTTATTTAATATTTGTGTTAACTATTGTATTTTATAGGGTATATTGTACTGGAGTTATACTAAACACCAATTGGATTATAACAGCAGCGCATTGTATACAGTATGCTATGCTCTCAAAAAAAACATAAATATTTAATAACTTTAATATAGCAACTAATTTTTATAACTTATTAATTTATTTGTAAATTTATTTTTTTACTAATTAAAGGTTTAGTTTCTTTTTTATTTATTAATATTATTATATTTATTTAATAATTGATGTAATAATTGTATTAGACTTTAATTATTATTAAGTAATATATATATTTATATTTTAAGTTCCGGTCACACACTAACTGTGCGTACAGTTCAGGATAGCAATGATAAGAGTCATATATATGGTGTAAATCAATGGTTCAGACATCCAAAATTTACGGATCAACTCTTAGAGGTTTATATATATATATATTAATTATTATACTTTTTTTTATAAATAAATTCATATTAGTTTATATACTGGATGTAAAACAAAATACTTTTTACATTAACTGTATGGATAAATATATGATATATAATATATATATTCAATACATACCAATCTATTATAATGTTTAATATAAATTCTATAAGTGTGTTCTGTCTGTCTGTCTGTCTGTCTGTCTGTCTGTCTGTCTGTCTGTCTGTCTGTCTGTCTGTCTGTCTGTCTGTCTGTCTGTCTGTCTGTCTGTCTGTCTGTCTGTCTGTCTGTCTGTCTGTCTGTCTGTCTGTCTGTCTGTCTGTCTGTCTGTCTGTCTGTCTGTCTGTCTGTCTGTCTGTCTGTCTGTCTGTCTGTCTGTCTGTCTGTCTGTCTGTCTGTCTGTCTGTCTGTCTGTCTGTCTGTCTGTCTGTCTGTCTGTCTGTCTGTCTGTCTGTCTGTCTGTCTGTCTGTCTGTCTGTCTGTCTGTCTGTCTGTCTGTCTGTCTGTCTGTCTGTCTGTCTGTCTGTCTGTCTGTCTGTCTGTCTGTCTGTCTGTCTGTCTGTCTGTCTGTCTGTCTGTCTGTCTGTCTGTCTGTCTGTCTGTCTGTCTGTCTGTCTGTCTGTCTGTCTGTCTGTCTGTCTGTCTGTCTGTCTGTCTGTCTGTCTGTCTGTCTGTCTGTCTGTCTGTCTGTCTGTCTGTCTGTCTGTCTGTCTGTCTGTCTGTCTGTCTGTCTGTCTGTCTGTCTGTCTGTCTGTCTGTCTGTCTGTCTGTCTGTCTGTCTGTCTGTCTGTCTGTCTGTCTGTCTGTCTGTCTGTCTGTGTCTGTCTGTCTGTCTGTCTGTGCATGCATGCAAACATTTGCGAACATAGGGAAGGGAGGGGTGATCTTCTTCTGTCTGTCTGTCTGTCTGTCTGTCTGTCTGTCTGTCTGTCTGTCTGTCTGTCTGTCTGTGCATGCACTATTTTTGCAAACATTTGCGAACATAGGGAAGGGAGGGGTGATCTTCTTAAAAAGTGCGAACGTAATAAGTGAACAGTCCTTTATAGATATATTAAACATTAGACAAATAATTTATATATAGATATACTTCTAATAAATTAATCACTTAATCAGGTACTGGATATTGCATTACTGAAATTGAATTCACATATCCCTATCACACATACGGCCGGCTATTATACGGTAAACGGTATTTGTTTGACCGACAAAAACATTGCTAATATCGATGACGAGTTGGCACTGTTTGCTGGTTTTGGTTACATTGATGAGTGAGTCAGTAATCCGGGACCGTTGAGGACGGGTTGGTTAAAGTTAATGAAAGCATATGGCAATAGAACCGATTTATTGGGCGCTCGGATCATAGCCTATAAATATCCGACTTATGGAGGAATGGCTACTTGCAAGGTATATATATATATATTAGCAAACTTTTTCCGTATTTTATTATATATTATTTGTAAATTAATTTTTTTAAAATAACAATAATTAGGGCGATTCTGGCGGACCATTGATTCAACATGTTTTGGATGGTAGTAGTAATGATGGCCTAAATCGGGCCGTACTTATTGGTGTTGCTGGCGGTACAGTTGGAGAACCATCTGTCGGTTATTGTCATAATCCCGATCCCAATACTAAAATGGTTTTTGCAAGAGTATCAAAATTTATTGATTGGATTGTTGATACAGTTTTAAAAAATACTAACTAAATTTTATTATTATCATTATATTTTATTTTTTTTCTATTAAACAATTATTAAATTTAAATGTATATTGTCAATATATTTCTAATTAATAATAATAATAATAATAATAATAATACAAAATTAATATTCAATATAAATAGTAGTTTTATTAAAATATTTAAATCAAAATAAACTAATATTTTTTATAATTTATAATATATATACATATATTACTGTATACAATGTGCTGCTGTTATAATCCAATTAGTGTTTAGTATAACACCCGTACATTCAGACCTATAAATTATTTTGTATATTTCAATACAATATTAATATATTTTTTATGTTTTATTAAATAATTTATATATATATATATATCTTTTACTAATAATTTTATTTAAAAAATAATAAATTGCAAACCATTTTAATGGTATAAATCCTAGAAGATAATATGTAGAATAGATATATACAATCCATGGCCACTCTCCCGGTTGAGCTAACCGTCCGTTTTGTACACTTGTAGTCACATTTGATGACCACTTGAAACAGTTTTTTGTAGTCAACAGTGACTGCCGTCCGATACCACACGTGTCGAGCGTTACGTTCGGATAGTGTTTGATCTGTGAGTGAATGCAAACACTGAACGACACCAATACTGATGACAACAATACTATTAATCAAAATAATTATATTAAATATATTTAATTTAAATAATAAAAATGTTTTCAAAATAATCCTTTTTTAATTTAAAGTTAAGTAAATAAATATACAAACATAATGTTAACATTTCATGCATTTTATGATATCATTGATTTGATAACAATTATTATTTCTAAAAAAATATTTTTGTTTTTTGTAATGATTTTTTTATAAAATATTAATAACTTATTATAATCTGAGATAAAATTAACTGAATATTAATTTTTCTTAAACATTAAATATTAAATTTCTATTAAATCTTATGATTTTTATAGTATATTAATTTAAAAAATACAATACAATTTTAAATATCAAATGTTTTTTATATAATCTATTAAATGTTAATATAAAAAATATTATTTAGTGCAAATTATTTGATTATACTATTAATCAAAAATAAATTATAAATATATTTAATTTAAATAATAGAAATGTTTTCAAAATAATCTCTGTTTATTCTGTGAATCAATTAATATGTGATCAAAAATGAATGTTTGATAAATTATATATGATATTATAATTAAAATAAATAAAGTGTTAGTAATTGTATTTAAAATTTAAATATATCAATTATATATTTTATAAATAGCTTTAATTTTTTTTAATCTGCTAATTTTAAATTAAATATTACTATTTTTATATAAATATTTATAATAAATAAAAATTTAAAATATATATAATAATAATTAATAATAAATAATTAATAATATAGTCTATTAATGAATAACATATTATAGTAAATCATAGACATTTAGTTTTATATTTGTTGAAATTATTTCATTGTAATAATATTAAAACATAATAATATATATTACATATATATTATAGTTTTGGTAGCTAAGATTATATAATTGGTTAGTTTAGATCAGCCCATGCATGACATACCACACCTCCCTCTCCAGCTATATAAGAGTCAACCGACCCTAACTCGGGGTCTGGATATTGTAGTCGTCTTTTAGAATCGTATATGTTTTGTAATAGTTTTATTTACTT